CGAGGTGCGGGCGGAGCGGCTGTCCCCGCGGGGCGCGGCGTGGGGCGGCAGCGGGCTCTGCGGCGGGGCGGGCGCTGCGGCCAGGCTGGGGGCGTTTCTGTGCGTCCGTGGGCCTTTAACCGTTTCGAGGCGTCGGGGCTTTGTGTGTTTTTAGTCGAAGCCTCCCCACCCCCGCCAGAGAGGACAAATTTCAACGCCTTATCTGCGAGAGCTGCCGGGCGGCGCTGCCCGGGCCCGCCTTGGGGCTGCCTCCGGGCCTCCTGCCCGAGTGTCAAAGTTTGGGCTGTGTGGCTTGTGGGGGGAAGACGCCTTGAGTTGTTGCTACATCACTCATTGCAGTGTCACTGGCACTATACGTGGTACTAAGTGTAGCGTGGGGGGGTGTGGGGTGTGTTTAGAGTATGATGAGCTGTGAGGGGTGAGCGCTTTTTGACCCTCCTCTGTGTTTTTTTTTTTTTGAAGTACTCCCTTCTAGTTTCTCACAGGTGTCTCTGATTTATCCAGGAGTGGCTATGAGTCTGCTTCCAAGCACTTCAATCCAGACGATGTGGAGGTGAACGTGGCTGGAAGATCCTTTCTGGTCACTGGCGCGAACAGTGGCATTGGCAAGGCCACAGCCAAAGAAATAGCGAGGAGAGGTGAGCTGGGCCGTAAGAGGGCTCATTACAGAGGAAGGTGGCCTTCCACCACAAACACACAGACACGACTCCCTGGAATGAGGGGTCAGGCGTGTTACTTTACAGGGCTATTAGCTTAGCGCATGTTAAGAGGGTTAAGCATGACTAGTGCTGTGAAAACTACAATAATGAAACAAAATTAGTGGAGAGACTCTGCAGAGTATTTCTCGAGTGCATGCTTACTGAAACTCTAATTTGTGTGTTACAAAAATCTCTGTTATAATGGCATCTACAGATGTTGTTGATGGATTAAGGTCTGTTTATGGCTGATTCAGTACAAGTAGCAGCCTGGCTGAATTTTAACTGTTTTGAAGAATTTACAAATGTATCATATGATGAAAGAAAACAATTGGCTTTGCTAAGTTCAGATGAGAGGGTATAAAAGAAGCAATGTAGTTGATCTTAATGATAATAAGCTGGAGGTTTTGCCCTTTAACATTACAAGCAACTTTTTTCTGTTGCTCCCTGTAAGCAAGGAGATGCTATGAACTGGAACTAGCTACTGTTGAAGGATAAACCTAATCCCTTTCAGAGTTGACAAAATAATTCCTCTTGTGCAAGAGGAGTTTTGGCATGTAGAATAAAAGGGAGGAGCTTGCAGCTCTTTGCTCTCTTTTTGCCTGCTTAGGTTTCGTAACTATCTTATGAAGGAAAGTGGTGACTCAGTTAAATTAAACTGATTCAAAATTATTAGCATCAAAGGGCCTTTGGGTTAAAGATTGCCATCAGTGCCAGTATGTGACTGATTTCAGGTTCCCACTACTGCCATTATGTATAATAGCCTTATGTAAGTACTGCTTTGTCTGGTGACTGTTTTTCTCACAAATGGATATGCCTGCCAGGTTTTGCAAGCTGTCAAGCTGACTGGATCTGCATAGGATTTGGTCACCATATCTGGTATTTGGAGACCAAAGAACAACTTTGGGCTCAGACTGCTTGTCTGATACCTGGCATGGGTGCTGCTGTGCGTATAAAGTTAAAATGACTTTACAGCGTCTTCCTGATCCTATCCGTGCACATGTTGCTCTGAAACTCAACGTCAGCTGTTGAGGCTCTGGCTTCTAGTTGAATCCCTGAAAGTACACCATGACAAGAAAATAAGGAATTCAGATTCAGCAAAAGAATAACCAAGCTACATTGGCTTTACCTTCAGTCACTTCAGATCTTTGTAAATGACAGTCTTCATGACAATTTCTTTAGCCTGAGTTCAGCTTTTCTCTTAATCAGTGTCTTACAGGTATTGCAGATTTGGGCTTTCCTGTATGTCTTGTAAACTGCACTTCCAGTGTGATGTGGTCTTCTCCCAACCATTCTGACAATTCCCATGTGTTGGTTAAATTCAAATAATGTCAATCTTTACCGCGGAAAATATATTTAAATCCCTTTCCTAGCCCATAGGTCACACCAAAACTTCTCTCTCTCCTTAACAGCAAGAAAAAAGTTCACATTCAAAGGCCTTAAAACCTGCCTCTGTTTTCATTGAATGTTGTCCACTGTAGACTGTGAAAATGTTCCTGATCAGCTTGAAGGCCAGCTGGTTCTTCCATGTGTTTCATTTGTACTTGCATGCATTGCTTGTGCTGTCCTCTGTATTTTGGGAAGAGCTCCTTAAACATCTACAAACGCACATCCTTAACTGCCCTAAGATCTGTAGTTAAAGCCCTTCTTTGCAGTGAAGCCAGCAGTCGCTGTGAGAATGGCCAAAGAGGGGAGTGTTGGACGCTGCCCCTTCTGATTGCCTCACTCACAAAATCTGTTCTCCCTGGGGCAAAGACTTTCTTTCTGATCTGTGTATATTCAGTGCCTGTCTGTGCACAGTCCCTTTCATGCGTGGTGTATGTGTAACACAAACTGAGGGTGAAACTATTAAACACCTCAGTTTAATATAATTTAATGTCATTTGTGTGATTATTGCAGATTCATTGGTTTCCACTACTGCCTGCTGTTGTACACTAGGTAAAAGTAACCCAGCCAACTCTGGCAGTGCAGTGGAGGAATGTTAGAAAATTTCAGAAGAACCTTGAGGCTTGTTCCTTGCATCAGCTGCATGCCAAATATACTTGCTATAGTGGTGCTCAGTGGAAAAACTTCTCTCGTAGACAGAAAGCTTCATTATCAGACCCCACACTGGGCTATGAAGTGGGTGACTGCTCTGTCCCTGGGGTAGACTTGGTGTCTTGCATTTGGGTTCAGGGCAGTAGAAGAGTGACCTGGCACCATTGTTTCTATTACCAGTCCTTTGAGATCACATTGCTTGAGCCTTCCAGTGGTGGACTGCTAGCAACCCTGAAAACACCTTTAACAGTAGGTAAAAGTAAAGAGTACAGGTACTCCTGTGTCTGAGGTTAACACATTACTTGTCCTGATCACAGAACACAAAGCATAAAAGTAAAAAATAATTATGCCTGCCTGTACTTTACGCCCCTTTTTGAAGGCTGTCTTTGATGTGGCTGAGTTATGAGGTCATGATAAGTATCCAGGCTTTTGAGAGGAGCCTTGCCTTGCATATTCCTTTCATAGAGAAGCTGGTTGGAAGGGACCTGTAGAGGGTGACCTTGTCCAGCAACCCGCTTGAAGTGAGACTGTTGCCAACACTAGAACAAACTACCCGTTGCTTTGTCTCTCTGGGTCTTGAAACCCACAAGGAGGGAAATTATGCATGCTCTTGGGACAGGCTGATCTGTTTAGAAGAAAACTAGTGAAAACTTCTTTTCTTAATGCCTGACCTGAGCCTCTTAAGCTGCAATTTGTGGCCGTGGTCCTTGTCATGTCTTGCACTGCTGAGAAGAATTCTGATAACTGACATTTTTATTATCTTTTCACAGAGCAATTCCAGTAATTTGTGGTGTTCAAGCCCTCTACTGAACTTTCTAAGGCATGTGCCAAAAGAAGCATTTACAATACAGATGCCTTAGCTTCAATTTCCAGTGTAGCTGTGGTATTTTATCAACAATAAACATGATGGGCAGACTTGACAGAAAATGATTTGAGTACTCGGTACCTAGAGTACGGTGGCCTTTTCCATACAGGCAGCCTTGGGTGAGGACCTTGTTACAGCATGATACTTTCTCCTTCCTGCCTGCCGTTGTAGGGACCAGAGCCAAGCAGAAATCTTTCAGCTTTCTTGTTATAGCCACGCTTTGTGACCTTAGCCTTTTGTTTGGAGGACCTTTACCTCAGTCTTTTGACAGGCTGCGTTGGAATTCTTGGTGTGTCTGGTCTGCCTGATGGTGCTGCTGGGTCAGTGCCTTTTGCAGGGAATTTGTCCCTGGGAATCGCCCAAGGCTGGTGGACCTGGGACTGCTGTGGTGTGCTCAGCAAGTGTCACGGGAGGACCAAGAACTCCACAGACCTGAGCTTCAGCAGCATTGACAAAAAGCCAACACTCAGCTCCTGGCAGCAGAGAAGTGGGACTGTTGGCTGTGCACAGCTCAGGAACATTCTGTCTGCTGGGAAGCTCCTGTGATAGTTCAGTGACCATCTGACCGGTGTTGCCTCTGCTACTAGCGGGCTGTAGGTTTCCCACAAACTAGAATGGATTCACAAAAGTTTCTTTTGTTTCACTTGGATTGTATCAAAAACTAACCCCAAACAAGAACTGCAAATTGCACATCACTTCCTGGCCCTCCCTCTTTGCTGATGCCTCCCCCAAACACAGTTATCCATTAATTAATTATCAAATGTGGTTCTTGTTGAAATCCACCAGGTGGCACGGTTCATCTGGTTTGCCGAAATAAGGAACGGGCTGAGGTAGCCAAAGGAGAAATAGTGACAGAAACAGGCAATCAGGTGAGTTGTTTTTCAGTCTTTTGTTTACTCTTAGAAAGATTGTTGGTATTAAAGACCTCAGAGGCCTTGAGATACTCTGTTTTGTCATTGTGCTGTTGTGTTTTTAATATTTTCATACAGACATGGAAACATCTAGTAGTTTATCATCCATATGGTTTGAAGTGATTATTTTCACTAGGTGATGTTTTCTGTGATTAATAACATCAGTAGCAGCATGCTGTTTTATTTAATGTTTGTTGTTGATATGTGTTGTGATGTCCTACTTACTATTCCTAACTATGTGGCTGAGGCTTTTAAAAGTTAATGCATTGCAACACTCTTGTAACAACATTTGTGTGTTTACAGTGTTGGAGTTGAAGGTTTTATGTGTCTGAATAACATGCTTTTGATTTGCTAAGGTTGACTGCTCTGTGAAGTCCTGTGTGTGATCCTAGTTCCATCCTCTACATACTTTTACATCTCCTTTTCTTACAGTATCTCTTCTGTACCTCCTCCCTTCTGTTACCTATTCTTTTTGCTTCTGCATATGTCCCTCTACAGTATAGCCCTGTAGCTGTCACTGTTGCTTTTGCTAATTATTCAGGAGGGTGTGCTTATGGAGAAGTGCAGTCATTGTTTTTCTATCTTGATGTACTGGTTTTGGCTGGGATAGAGTTAATTTTCTTCATAGCAGCTCCTATGGTGCAGTGTTTTGGATTTGTGACCAAAACAGTGTTGACAACCCGTGTTTCAGTTATGGCTGAGCAGCGCTTGCACAGCATCAAGGCCTGTTCTGGTCTCACACTGCCCCACCAGCGAGCAGGCTGGGGGTGGACAAGGGAGTTGGGAGGGGACGTAGCTGGGACAGCTGACCCCAGCTGACCAAAGGGTTATCCCATGCCATATGACGTCATGCTCAGCAGTAATAGCGGAGGGAAGAAGGATGAAGGGGAGACATTTGCAGTTACAGTGTTTGGCTTTCTGAATCAGTGTTGTATGTGATAGAGCGCTGCTTTCCTGGGAACTGCTGAACACCTGCCTGACAATGGGAAGTAGTGAATGAATTCCTTATTTTGCTTTGTTTGCACACAGAGCTCTGCTTCACTTATTAAACTGTCTTTATCTCAACCTACAAGTTTTGTCTGTTTTTACCCTTCCGATTCTCTCCCCCATCCCACTGGGAGGGGAGTGAGCAAGTGGTTGTATGGGGCTTAACTGCCTACTGGGGCTAACCCACACCACTTGCATGGAAAGCTGTCTTCATTTTAAATAGTGACTTGGCTCTTGGAAATAGTATTTTGATTCAGTAATAGTTTTTAATGTGGATCAAAAGTTCTAAAGACTTTTTATGGTTAGAGATACCATATTGACTAAATTTCTGCTCTTTGGTTTCAGCTCCCTAGTGTGACACAACCAGCATTACACTTCACTTCTTTAATGGAGGTGAATGAGATCAGTCCTTATGTAGAAATAAATGTTTTCCAGCTGTCTATAACTGTGTAATCTCATGGCTGTAGTAAGACTGCTGATTATCTGTGTTACCTCCTTTTCTAAGTGCAGTCAGACAGCCTAGAAAGAGGGGTGAGTTTGACCTCTGAAGGTTCCTTCATGTTCTGTTTTCTGTCATCTGGTGAAACAAAACTCGAGGCAAATGTTCTTCCTCTAAAAGCAGCACAATTACTGCACTTCCACTTTTTGCTAGGCTGCAAACCTCTAGTTTCTCTAGTCATGAAAGAGTATGAGAGCACTGCAGAGCTTGTTCATGACCCCGGGGACAGGGCACTTGTCTAGAAAGCAGCGTTCAGTAGTGTGTTAGACGAGCTGTGCAAGAGGCCCTGTGGGACGTGTGACTGCACTGGGAAGAATAATTTTAATAAGGAGTCCACAAGAACATCCTTCTTTATAAGTACTCAATTCAGAAGCAATCCAGGGAGATAATAAAATGCTTTATCTGTAACTTGACAAGCTATATCCAGACTTAACTTGCTCTTCCTGATCATCTGGGTGGAGATCCTGTTGTAGTATAGGCCAAAGATTTTTTTCCGTCTTCCACAGCAATACATGCCAGAGCTCAGTGCTGAAATGGAGTTACAATTTGGCCAGCACCAGCACCTAGACCTGGGAGCTGGGAAGATCTCCTAATCTGTTAAAGGTAGATCTAGTCACGGAGATTAGGTCTCACTTTGAAAATGGTTTTGCTACCATCAAGGACTTTTATAGTGAACAGGCCTGTGGGGCCTTTTTCTGAGCCAATGTGACAGTCTTCAGCAGAGACATGTTGATTTAGATCTTTTTCAGTCTCTGAAATCACTTGTAATGTTGAACATCTGCCAAAAAAAGCCTTCAGCTCTTCTGTACCCATAGATAATGGTAGTAGCTTTAAAAGTAGAAAGCTTTCAGAGAGGTAGCCAGTTAGAAACAGTAGAGCAGTGTCAAGTTTTTGGTCAGAAATTAACATTATGATGAGAAAATCCTGACCTAATTCAACTAAGGAGCTGAAATCCAATGGCTAGCGAGAAAAAGTCGTATGTTTTTTTTTTATCTTCAGGGAAGCAGAATTGTAGGCAGGGAATAATGCCTTATAATTTTCTCAGCTTCTTCACTTATCTCATTTGCTTGTATAATGAGTATTTAAAGAAACAATTTGGAAAGAGAGGAGGCCATTTAATGATTATTTGTTGTTTTGCATGAGAACACATCCTCTGCATAATTATTTTAAAATTGCCTTTTTGTGGGATACGTCATAAGACTATCTGTGGTGTGTCTTTGAGAGTAAGTGCTATCTAGGAGAAGAGTAGGAGCTGACGTGCCTTTTGTATGCTGATAAATGCCACCGTGCTTGTACTAGGTAGAACACAAATTTGTAAAAAGCAAGAGAATTGCCTGTAACAAACAGTAAAAGGTTTTTGATGTTTTAGAGAGAGGAAATATTTCTAGCTTTACTAGTTTCCTCTGTCAAGCTTTTCCTGGCCACAGTATTTCAAAACATTGGAAGACTGTTGTGATGTGGGCCGACTCACAAGGACTTGCAGCAGTTGGTGTGGAAGGGGGTGCAGAAGGCACCCAACACTATGAGATGGCTGGAGTGGGTGCAGTGATGCACCTGAAAGCATGCTGTCCTTCACTGGTTGGAGCGACTGCGCCTGGCACATGGGAGGCTGGCCTGGACAGAGCTCCAGTGAAATGATGTGGCAGACACCAGGCTGCAGAGAGTGACTGGTACTTTTCCCTGAGCCTGGGACAGAGCATGATGGTGGCCTCATCTGTTGGGTTCTGCTGTGGTCAAGGTGCTGGGCTGCCAGGTGAAGCGATGGCAGGAGATGAGCAGGCTGCATAACTGTAGGGAGCAGAAACAGGAGATTGAGAGGGTCTTTGCAGAGAGTAGAAGAGCACAAACCCCACACTGCGTGGAAGGAGAGACAGCTGGAAGCTATGCTTGAGTAAGTGGTGGATAGAGACGCCTAAGGTGGGGAGGAATGGAAGCTTGTCACTGCTGGCAACAGAAAGCAGGCTGGTCCTCTGTCTGCAGATGTGCATTGGTAGGATAGGTGTAGTGCCATGGTAACAGATAAGGAAGAACAAGCTCTGTCAGGGGAGGTGTTGGAGACAGATGAGTCTGAACCGTTTTTGGCACTGGCAGGAAGTGGTGGGTGGTAATGGCTGGAGGGGCTCCCTACTGTGGGGGATAGAGGCACCCATCTGCAATCTTGGCTTGATGTCTTGAGAAATTTGTCACTTGCCAGGGACTCGGATCTAAGGTATTGTGGAGAGTCTGCTGAGGCTCATCTGGACCTTGGATTGGTACCTCTTGTTGCCCAGCCACATGGGCACCCGTGACATTGTGAGGTGTGACTGTGAGTTCATCAAGAGCGCTTGCAGAGGGTGAAGGGCATGGGGGCCCAAGTAGTGCTCTCCTAAATCCTTCCAGTAAAAGGGAGGGGCTTGGGTAGGAACATATGCACCCTGCAGGTCCACACCTGAGTGTGCAGCTGGTGTCACTTTGGCCTTTGTCACTTTGCCTTTATGACCT